AGACCTATTTATTCTCAGTAACTTCAATAATTTCCTACCAAGGCTACGCTATCGCTAGTCCAGTCAACCCAGATTTCCGAAAACCGAATAAAGTAGACGAATAAAATCTGGCTCTTTAGAGTTGCTTGTCAAGCCTACTAACCGCTAGCTTTTCAAAAAGCTTCCACAAATAGTCCACTAGGGATATTGGGGTCAGCGACCCGAGTGCGTTCTCTTTAATTCCTGAACAGACGACCAATATTTGCTTCTTCCAATCACGTAGAAAAACGGCCCGTATCAATAAATAGGTTGCCTTCAACTGAATAGAGGATGAGCAAGTATAGGTGCATCGTTTCTGAATAGTTCGTTTGGAAAACGAGCAGCTCTGCACACCCATGCAGTTTTCGCCCTTTCTATAACCATCCAAACCTTAAGCACACTGATATAATATAGCCAAATTCTTCTACCAACTTAATGATCAATCTTTGTCTAAACTTCACCATGAATCTCAAGGAAAGTAACAGTAGTGCGCCAGTGCTTACAGACGGTTTGTTAAGTTCGTTAACGGTAGCTTGAGAATTATGGAGTTGATGTCCAAAGTCAAGACCGAGCAACGATGGTAGAATCAGCCAATGAATTTCTCCGAACCCAGCAAAATAGCATCATTCTCATAATGAAGCTAATTACAGAGCAGTTCAAAAGTCGGTTCAGCATCGACTTCATCATACTCTGCGAAATAGTTAATGTTTAAAGCTTGATTTGTAGATAGGGCCACGGAAAGCCATATATCCGAGTAGAAATTGCCCCTTTAGGAGATCTGCTCGAGAGCTACGGGACGGTTTCCCCAAGGCGTAGCAATAATGAGGTAGCGTTCGCAGAAAAACAGTGTCAATTAAACTACGGGAACCACACATGGAATTTTCTCACAACGTGCCGCAGTTACAAATCTTATTCTTAAATAAATCTTAAAGTTATTCGAAGGCACTTGAGCTAATACGAATCTTCGAAGGCAGGCGAGACACCTCGCTAACAAAGTTGCGGTAGTCTCTAGAGAAAAGGAACGCTAGATATACTTTACAGAAGACTATCGAGCAAATCTACGTTCGGGTCACTCAAGGTAACAAACGATGGGGGATAGGGCTTGCAGGCACAGCCTTATCAAGAAAATCAAATAACTTGCTGCTGTTAACAAAACGACCTATAGCAAACGTACACAACATGCTCTTCAAGGTCCCAATCTTTTTACTTTAAAACGAACTGTGTGAACATTCCCGTCACCATTACTTTTGTTACTGTCGGAACGGGACAACAGACCGCACACAGGCTTCTGCTCCGCATCACGACCACTGGTAAAAAAAGGAGCGGAACCTGGGAATACTATGGTCTGGCGAAATCAATGCTTTTCAACTATATCTCACTGACAACCACTTCCAAATCAAAGCTAGACCCTTTGACCCCATACAAGATTGTCAAATTTTTATGTTGCCTTGATTTCCTAAGCTTTTCCGTCCCAGCGTTGGGTATTAGTTATAGATAAATCATTAACCCCCTGGAGAATTACTGGAATACCCCACATTTTCCTCCCGTTATCTAAATCCTTCCAGCTTTAATATATTGGAGCTCTATATTCCTATCTGCAATTTGCTACTGCAGCGACAAAGGTATACTTAAAATTTTTCAAAAAAAAAAAAAAGATTTTGTCGTATGTCAGATGCTTTTCAACTTGTCCTGATGCAAGAGCTAACTAATCAACGTGGTGATATTCGCTCGGAATATATCATTCGAACTACACCAGTGTAACTTACACCTTTATACGTGGTAACTTATCTAATGCACAACATTACCTTCACAATACGTGTGTACTCCGACACTAAAGAAAGCTCCTGGAATGTTTGAAGATGGACCGCTCATAAACGCTGAACATGCACCTGACCCAGCTGAGCTATTCTGCTGTGAGACCAGCTTAAACTTATCTTGTATCATGAACGGCGAACGGTTCAAATCAACAATAGTAGAGCAGAAACACGCTAGGAAATACCTCTGTGCCAATCAGATGTCAGCTAGGACAGAACTACTGGAAATTTCACACTCACAAGCTTTATTTCCAAGCCCTTCTTTGCGATCGCAAACATTCTGTGAGCAAACCGGTCCTCGTTGACCGTACTGTCGCTACAACAAACCTATACTACTCAGTAAAGATCATCCGTCAAAATATTTTATATAATTTCCGTTAAATTTATTGTACGTTACTTTTCTTAGTAGTTTACTATTTGCAGTTACTTTTCTTATTTTCATTTTATCAATATAATTACCACCATTTATGATAGTGTTACTCAATTAAATATTTGTAATCTCTATTTACCATCCTTTACTTTATGCTTCCTCTCACTTCGTATTTTGTTGACCTGAATACCGTCCGACGATTGACGCTTACGCGATCTTCCTTTTTCATTAGCTATTTCACGTAGCATTGTAATATAGCCTGCCTTCCATACAAAAATACCATACGCATTTTACCTTCCTATAAAGAAGACTATCAGTTAGCTAATTGCATTTTCCGTATGGTCGCCGCTGTGAATTTTCGCTCCACGTTTAACGACAATCTGTAATTGATGCCAAACAGGTTTATCTATGGGTTTTTTTTTTTCATTTTATCATGAATGTCACTAGTGTTAATGTTACGACCCTATGAATCATGCCATGTTCATTAATGAAAAGCATTGCTATTATTGTTAATATTAGTTTCCGGTTTTCGCTAGTAATCGTTTTATTTACTAATTCGTTTTGACCCGTTCGGGTTGACCCAGATGAATACAATTTCGCTTTAGTATGATCTAAAACCCATGTTAGGTAGTAACTTTCCGTGCGGACTTTCTATAGTTCTGTCTATTGATGTTACATTGTCGGGTTTGTGCGTATAGGGGGCAACTAGAAAGTTGCCATGCAGCAGACTTCCTGCACCACGATTTTCATTATTATAGTATTAGACCCGGAGAAACTCCCTTGTACAGTGTTCGACCTAGTACTAGGTTGGCTTATCTGTGCACATTGACTTTACGCAATAAGCTATAATAATAACAACAACTCAATTGACCTGTGAAACTGAAACTCGTCCTAATTGCTTGCTGATGAGTTTTCTATATATATATACAGATATGATTCATTTTAACACGCGTCCAACTAATATGAAATTGGCATTACAAGAATTGAAGTGTTAAGGTAATTTCTACATCATTTGATTCATATTCTGGTAGAGATCGCTACCAATAAAGAGGGTTTATAAGTAAACCTATTGCTGTATGTATATCTAATTTTCATTCAATCGATTTCTCGCACCTCATGTAACCTCTCAATATATCCATCATCTGTCAACGAACTGTGATCGTAAGCGTGTGCTAACCACGCACCTCGATGCGCAGTCATTTGTGTAGCACTTAATTATTATATTTCGTAGGCTCTAATACATATTCTCTGTTTGGATACATTAAATAGTTATTACCTTCTACAATTGTTTTGATACACGTTAGCCAACTCTCATTATGACGTCACAATATGCGAGCTCTCTTGTAGTGAATTTGGCAGCCTTGAAAGCGAAACTATATACCGCAATGGTAAAACCACCGTTTCTCTATCGCAAAAATTTAAAATTGGGCGGCATTCGGGGTTGTGAAATTCGGCTGCTTTGCAGTGCCTATTTTCTTTTTTTTTTTAGGTGAGTTGGAGTCGAGTCGCCATCTCTTGTTACTTTCGAACATTAGAATTATTTTTTAATGGCTTGTTAATTTGCGGTTGTGCTCTGTGAACCTGAACATGGAAATTTCATTTCGAACCACTGCTAGTTCTCCGTCATTGTTGTTTCTACCTAATACGTAATTCGTCCTCGTAATATTTGGCATGTACTAACTGCATTCAAACCGCGTAAGCCATTACTGTAATTGAGCAGTAGAAAGTGGCTGACTGTTGACCCTATGACTGTCATCATTACGATCTGTACGAACGTATCGTGCAGCTTTCCGGAAGTCCTGCACCAGTAGCGGTTGCAGTATGTGAGCCTTAACTGCGTTTAGCACAATATCCACAAGCCAGCTATGCCATCGTGCCCGAGACCTAATTTTACTTTCAGGCACTGATCGTGACCATCCTATTTGTTAAAGACCTTGATCTTATTGTCAAGGTTGCCTAGTGTATACTTGATAATAATACATGAAAATAACCTTGTACTAGCGCGAGAATGCCCGCTTTTTCCGTTTTCTCCCGCAATTTTTGCATCGAACTCGTCAGTCTAATTGCTATCGATGAGCCCGAAGTCCCGCTAGCTCTACAGTTACTTCAGCTTCGGCGAAAGCCCTATTTTACCCACACTACATAAATACGGGCGGCCATTATATTAATACAATAACCTAAAAAATTAATAACGTATTTATATACAGCAATTCAGCGATGTCATGGATGTTAAACAATAGATGACCTTTTATTTTGTCTCTGTTTGACCGCTATCGTTACATAAGCGATAATGTTTTCGCTCTCGTACGCCTGCCTGTTGGTGGCCGGTCTGGTCTTTCCTCAGTTCTATTTTCTCTAGTCGTATTCTTCTTCATTCTGTTGTCTTTTTCTTCTTGTTGCTTTTTAATTAGGTAGTGTTAACAACCACGTCTTTTGTCATCTTTTGCTCCTCTACTAAATAAATGTTAAAAGATGTGGTTATCACCCCCGATCTCTACCTCCGTTATCATAATAATTATATCTGTCATCATCATTATTATTATTATTAGATTCATTATTTCACAATAATCCCGTTTTTCTACTATTTCGTTCTATTTTCCGCACTCATCTTTAGTTTCGTACGTAGTAAATCAGTTGGATTTTGTTTTTATCATTTCTGCTGCTGCTGTTACCATCTTCCGCAGCTTAAAGTCCAGCAAGTTACTTTTATTATTATCATCATAATTTTTATTAGGAGCATAATCATCTTTTTTCCTAGAAACACATATATATATATATATATAATATATATATATATATATATATATATATATATATATATGTATATATATATTTCGGTGTGTGTATGTATATGTCTGTTTTTATTCTAACCCACTCTCAGCATGACGTCTCCCTCTATACCCACATGCCCAAGCCACACGTTGAAATCATTACATGCCGTAAAAACGATTATCGTGTAGACAATTTAAAAATAGGAAGAATCAAAATAGCACTTGCAATACTAAACAAGGAAAACCTGACGAATAATGTTTAATCCTAACATATAATAATAAATATAATAATAGTTAAACTAATAATAATAACAACAAATATTTATTGTCTCATATAGCCGAGAATAGCGTTGTCGCCCCGCTCCCCCATATATATATATATATTTCTACGGCCATTTTAAAAGGACGGCTTGGGGGAGTGGAGTTTTTCCGTGACGTATCCTTTTCTTTCTTAGCCTTTTCTCGAATTAATCTTATCTGCCTCACCGTTTTCATGCCTTCCCGTTGCCAGTTTATCGTAATCTGATACAGGTGTCAACAATATTAGCTAAATAATAATTATTATATAAGATTATAATAATAATAATAGTGATAATAGGGAAATAGAAGTGAAAATTATCGTCGTCTAACCAACTCCAACCCTGTAGTTTGGCCCTGGCATTACCTTCTATTGCCGTCTACGACGGTTTCCGTAGCATTTACAATTTTGTCTGCCATGTTTCTCATCCTATACTTCCGTGTGTCCTTCTGTCGCACTCTGTTACTGTTTTAAATGTCATTAACGCGCACATGTGTTACCCACGTGTAACAGGTCACGCGTATCAATCTACCTATATCATTGATATTGTGTTGTTATGTTATCAGTCGTTTCCATTCATCTTGTCGATTTTTCATTCTCTCTTTTGCCTGTACTTCCGCCCACATTTTACACGTCTTCGACCTGCACACACATGGTTGTAAATGTTCTTGTTTCACGTTCTTGTCCACTACATTTCATCTTTGTCTGACTATCTTCACTTGTCGGTCTCTTGTCTGTACCTGTTGTGTAAGCTATATTTATGTCTGTTGTGTATGCTTTCAGTTATTCTCTGTCCACCTATATCGTCATCATCACCGTTCTTCGTCGCCTTCACCTCCTTTATGGCTATAGTCTATCTTTTCAATAATGCGAGCCCCGTCTTATCATTTCGATTCAAATAGAAGCAAGCACAAGCTAGGTGTATATAGTAGGTCGTTCTCACTGCCACCATATCCAGGATATTGTCTTTCCTATTCTTACAGAGCAATAGCGACAAGCACTAATCTCTCCCGTTTCGTATACCGGCTTCAATTAGCCTAGCGATTTCAACACCGTCGTTGATGTCGCCGAGATGTTTAATTTTTAATTTTCTCTCCCACCCCGCCCATCAAAGGTCGGCCACTACCAAACGTATACTGCATTTACTCACAGACATTGGTCGACGATATTCATAGACGCATACGGTTTACCATCAATAGGACTTCTGTAACAACTAACACGAGTTACAGTATAGATAAAGTTACCATAGTAGCGGTTAGGATTATTTCCTGGTTGTTGCTGCCATTTTTTCAGTAGAAGATTTTCTGTTGCAACTGAAGTCCTCCGTCCTGGTATCGGTTTTGTGCAAGCATCGTTGCGTGGCCGCGGCAACACCCTTTCCACTAAAAGGGTACATGAAGTCAGTTATTTGTCGCTATGGCTGCTTGTCTATGTGTAACGTGAACCAGTGAGGTACGCCAACAAATGCTACACACCCTTACGAAGCCCAAACGCCAATCGAGCACACATTTCCACCTTTCTCATCAAGTGATAGCGTATGTGTGCCATCACCTTGGACTTGTGACACGAGATGACCCGGAGCGCGGCGGAAGGGAGGAACTACAACGAAACGACTTTGCTTACGTCTTTTTATCATCAGCCACTTTAATTTCGATCCCAACATTCACACTTGCACATACACACAGCTCAATTGTTTTGATATATCTATTCCAGCCTGGCATCTGTTGGCTGTTGGTACCACAACCCTTTGCTAGTGGCGGTGGTAGCGGCCACGTGCTGACGTTAGGGCACAACCCGCAGCCTGTCATGGTCCTTCTGATAAAAGGTATTCACTATATTCACGTGTTTAATTGTCTATCTTTCTTCCTTTTCCTCGCTTGTCGTCCTTGTTGTTGCTGTTGTTGTATTCCTTGCTTATTGATTGCGCTTAAAATACTACTACTTTCGCCCAGGCGTGGGTTTGTTGTTAGCTGAGCCTGCTAGAGAAAATTTCTTCTTGTCGGCAGGTTTGAGAATTTGGAATGAGCACATGAGAGTTTCGTCAACGCTCATCATAGCCCCAGCATTGTCGAATTCGCCGCAGTAGTTCGGTGCTGAGAACAGGGTGACGAGTTGTCGTTTGGCGAAGAACTCGTAACCATCCTCGACAACCTAGAACGTAATTGTGGTTAAAAAAATCAATGAACGCGTTCAAAATTGAATACAATTACGGAATTGTGCTCAGAAACCACGAGAGAAACTGAATTGGGATTTTGTGAAACAGTGGACAGCTAAATTCATTTACTAGGATATTTTCAATTAGTATTCAAAGATGCTATTGGAGAAACATTTCTTGTGACACTACCCTAAAAATATTTACTATACCCAAAGTTCGAATTATTACTATCAACACATAGAAGCTAAACGAAAAAAGCCACATTTCCGCCACGGTTTTTCCTGATATATTCAATACCTTTTTTCTTTTTCCTTTCCGAAACCTATCGGATTTTCAAGTAGTTCAATGGTAAACAGGTCACGCAAAAATATGGTGAGAGCAAACAAGCCATTATCGTATTATATCATAAACTCTTGCAATCACATGTGTACGACAAACTGTGGGTAACGCTTACCTGGTGGGCGCGACAAACGAGGTCAAGGTCCTGTTTATGAAGGAATTTTGCAACAACATCCGATCCGAAGGTAAATGACACGCCACGGTCATTTTCTCCCCAACCCATGATATCCTACGACATCGACACATAAGAATTGGCATAATTAGGAATTTTCTGTTGCATCAAATAGAGACTTTCACAGATACACATGTTTGTAAATGAAACACATTTCATCAAACATATTTCAGCTAACAGAGTGAGCTATGAATATAAGAATATCAGAAAAAATCATCAGCTAGGATATTCTCAAAACATTCCCATATATTAAAATGCTCTAAATTCAATATATGTTTCGGAGCTATTTATATAGAATCTCGTAATGAAAAACAAACAGCCTCATCAATCGACTTTTGTGTAAAATGCCAACTCTAAAAGCATCTTTTACACTCTTTTGTAATTTACGTATCAAACGTAATTATTTATGCCCTGTCTTTGTGATCCTCGGTTTCCTTACCTTGTCGGGATCAGACCAAAGCAGATCGCAAAGGAGTCCCTGATCAGGGACATCAGTCGGCCGCATGATGCGCCGGATCTGCTCCATTGACTGAAGGTCAGGCGAAAGGCCTCCATGGCAACAAAAGATCTTCTCGTCGACGATAGCGGCTACTGGGAGACAATTGAAACAATCCGTGAAAGTCTTCCAGAGTTTAACATTGTATCTAAAAAAAAAAAAGCGAAAATAGAAAAGTCAATCACAGTTAATAGATGATCGCTATTCGTACAAAAACATAACGATATAGTGATAAACTAGTCCCTCAACTCTTCTAAGACGGTTTATCAAATCGCAAAGGAGATAGCTCCGTCTGACCCCATAATGTGTAAAAACCTAGCACAAATATTACTGAAAATGCGTCAGTCAGTGCTGTTCCGTAGCTTTTGGCATCGAAGTAGTATCATTTTATATCACGGAAAGATCACGTTGCTCAACAATGTATTCAGCGTTTTCCAGTGCAGCAGACACGTCATACACCGTATAGTCTCTAAAACTAAGCTAAATATTAATGCCCAGTTCGCTTAATACGATGCTGAATGCGAGTGGAAGAATATTGAGATGATACAGAACAGCTGCTAGTTTATCTGCTAACTGTCGCGTAGAACTCACGTCTATGAAAAAGAAAACGCCCACATCTTCGTTTCACATATTTTCTATGATTAATTCACTAAGGTAAATGACACCCGTGCTTTTTTGATTAAACTTGGCAATATACAGTTTTCTCTGATTGGCTCATTTGATCAGAATTACCGACCTGCGTTTACACTCATCGTAAAAGCCATAAATACGGTTGATTGATGCGCACTCGTGATTGCCACGAAGCAGGAAGAAATTTTCCGGATACTTAATCTTGTATGCCAGCAATAAGCAGATCACCTCGAGACTGTGCTTCCCACGATCAACGTAGTCACCTATAAAAAAAAAATAGAACAACACATGTTCAAGTTAAAAAAATCGGTTAAAAACCGTAACTCCAAGGCATATAATCAATATACATTCAACGTATAAAGACTGCATTTTAAGCGGTTTACAGCCGTACGGTCAGAGGCTATCACAAAAAGCTGATAGAAATTCATATTAAACATTTGCACACCTACGTCATTATGTCCACTTCGTACTCATTTTAGTTTAAGTTTTTTAGGATGAAAAAAACAAGCTAGCCATCCAAAAGCGAGAAAGCATTCACTTACCAAGAAAGAGGTAGTTTGACTCTGGTGGAAATCCTCCATATTCAAATAAACGCAGTAAGTCATAGTACTGTCCATGAACGTCTCCGCAAATTTTCAATGGAGCCTCAAGCTCCAGTAGAATAGGCTGTGATAGGAATACCTCACGCGATCGTAGGCAAAGACCGCGCACCTGGTCAACAGACAACGTAGCAACAAAATATCACAGATATTTGGAAAAGAGTTAGTAAACAAGTCGCGTAGTTAATGGGCCCTCATAGATTTATATTATTCATCTACCTGTATGTAATCTTATACGCAAATTTGATACTCTAGAAGAAAAAAGCTACCATTCGTTGACCTGTCTTTGATACACACTCTCAGCACCAACTAGACGTATTACACTGTTTCTCATGTATGGGTTTAAACAAATCATCCGCGAATCACACAAAAGATCACACGTCTATATTAACCGTTTATATATATATATATATTTAATATTTTATTTTTTTACGGTTATATTAATCAGCATTAAAGCGACAGCCCAATAAATAAGAAGAAAACATATCGGCATGAAGATAACAGAAAAGGAAAAAACCTTTGCGAATACTGTTTAGTATCGAAACTCATCTTACAGCTAGCTATATACCGGCCCCAGCCATCACAAAATGACATAAAACCCATTTACACAGAATTAATTTCTATGTCCACCCTTTTTACCTTTTTAATTTTTTCTGTCGGATCTTGTTCCATGCGTATATTATTTAAAAACATTGCTTCATCTATCACAGATCTACTTCAGTAACAGCAACATCAGCAACCGATCTCGCAAAAAAGAGCCATATTATAGAGCAGCAGCACCTTGCTCTCCTGCAGACGCTCCCGTAGCAGCGTAAAACTACACTATAGACAAGTACACCATGAATAAAAATACGAATCACGTACGAGAGTTCGTCTCTTCCGTTTTTCTTATTCAGTTTACCTCATCATCGACTACGCCATTTCTATAGATGTGTATGAAGAGCGGCATGTGCGACAGACGCGATTTAAAGTAAAATATCAATAGCAACACCGACTGTAGGAACAAGAGAAGTCGCGGCAGCTGTAGCAGCTGTGGTAGCTGCCGGGGAGATGCAACACAGAAATACGAGAATCATCGACACGTACATACAAAAAAAGCATACGGACTCGTGCGTCTAAACCACAAACAAAATTAGGTTGCACACGATGCCACATGTGCATGCACAGCTAACTTAACGCACACCGTTTCTTCTGCAATGGTTCCTACAGTTGCGATGAAGAAGCTCTTTACAAAATCGGAAACAGACTGAAGCAAACAAGAAATCTAAAAGATTTCCTTACTTTACCAGCCATTCCACTGCCAAAAGGTCTTCATGTACCAAAGCATCATCGGAGCACATGTTTATGATTCGGGAAAAATAAACGCTTCAACGGATGAGATAAATATAACAATCATGTGTACCTTTTAAAACGAACAAATTCAATCAAATGAAAAAAAAAGTGCTAGAGAACAATTTCGATGCGAAAAAATTGATTGATTTTTGTGAGGAGCAACTGAGAATCGTTAATTTACTTGAAACTTACATTTAACACCTCAATTTACAAATTTCGCAAGCAAAAATTTAAAAAAAAAGCTAAAAAACAAGAATGTTATGTACAAATATCTAATGCGCTTTAACAAGTTTCACCATCGTTGATCAGTTATATGAATTCAACAAGAGCATTGCTCTGCCACAAATTATCATGTATGATCAACCGCACACTTAAGTACCTCGTCCGGTATATTAAAAACCACTGGAAATCGCTACTACTACACTGTCGCAAAAAGACAATCTGATGGAAGAAGACTGATACCATTATCGTACACATCGAAACGTTGACAGTCGTAATTATCGCCTTGAGTTCTGCTAATTCAAAAAACTATGTTACCCCAAACGTATTCGTCAATCAGATATGATCGTTGTTTAGACTAATGCGTTATTCTTTATAGTTCAAACAAAATTAATTTGGATCCATGAACAATCAGAACGCTCGAATTCTATCAATAATAGTTACTATAAGATAAGGTAATCTTTTTCTTTTAACTCGTCGGCATATTAATAACACGCATAGCAACATGGCAACATCGATGTATTTTCATCCACAAGGGTTTCATTTTAGGCTTAACACGCAATAGCGCTACCTAGGCAAAACAATTCTAATTGTCGTCAAAAAACGTAGACACGAAAAATAAAAAATCTAGACATTTTATCATCTAGATTTTTTATTCCTGCTTAAATTATGTGCGGGTAATTTTTCAGACTAAAATTTCAAAGTGACTTTGAACAAGAATATAGCTAACTATTTGCGGTTCAGATAGGAAAAATTAATGCACGAACGGTATCACCGACTACAGGGGGTAATAATCGACCCGTTCGAATACACATACGTATTGGCCGTTTGATTGTGCACGCATTTAACGTTTATTAAGTAAACGGTAAGTCGAAACAAGGCGTTCTTGCTGTTATCAAGGTTCTGTATTGCAGAACGTTACGTAATGATACTACTGGATTTGTCTAAAGTAAACAAGAAACGCCTTTACCGACTCCCGATTCCATTGTAAAAAATTATATTCGGTTATCATAAATTGCATTTTGTCGCATAGCTAATGATCAATTAGTATTGACCATCAATGACAACAAAAAGAATGGGTCCTCAATTATTGCCCAACAGAGAGTTTCAATCAGAATACACCCTTTATAGCAATAAAACTAGAGTATGTGTCGTGCTAGGTTAAGGTCACAGATGTTAAAAGCAGAAGAGGCACACGGCTCTAAAAAAAAACCAAAAACCCACCCCACTTTTACAAGCTACTGCGAACATCGATCATCCAAGCCCCCTCAAACCAATGTAATAAGCGCCTTAAACTACAAACTGCAAACGTTCCTACTTTTACCTTTCTAAATTAGCAACTGTAAGGCTTTAGTTCAACTGTGTGGAGCACGTTATTGAACAACTTTAACCATCAAAACTCGCACAACTCAGTAAAAAAAATACGACAATCAACGTTTCTTCTCGTTTTTGTTATCAAAATACACGTGTAAAACCACGCTCCATTCAAATATGGTTCTGTTCACGAGAGCCGAATAGCAGAGCTGGTAACAAATGTCCTTTAGCACATCTAAGTCAGCACTTATCTCCCTTCCAGGCTGGACAAACTGTGTATTTCCATTGCCGCCTGTTCGCTTATTATTGGTGTTGAGTATCGCCTGTGGCAGGAAAGCCAGCAGTAGGAACAGCATCAACGACCAACAAAGAGTTAGCACGTTGTGTCCAACGAAACCACACGTGAACGGCGCGAACAGTATGAACCATCCTCAACGCTCGCGTCAACTGAAACAATAATAATTCATGAAGAAGCTGCAACAGTACTGCGCGCTGACCGGCCTACCTTGAGAGTAGTGGGCACTCCGCAAGCCTCTACGCTAGGCCAATTTCACTGAAAAACAGAGATGAAACTAGCAAAAGAAGAACAACTAGGAATCCAACAGTGCGTCACGCACGTCCTGCGCAACGTTTTCTCGATTCTAGATTCCTGCCGCACCTGCTGCCTCGAGTTTAGTCTTTCACTGTTCGTCTGCCTAAGTGCCTGAACTGGTCGAGTGCAGTGCCGTCACCGCATAATGATATCGCTTCCGTTTCAGGACGAGAATGGATAGAATAGAAATAGGCTCTTTCTAGTGTTCGACGGTTGACGAAGCCGATACGACGGAAGTGTACGCGCGAAAGAGCTAGAACCCATCGAGTAAACAGTCAGCAATCCTAGACGTTCACCGGAGCGACAATATTGCCAGCGACTGCGTCGGCTGTAGGAGCGACCGCGATTCACTACCACCACTCCAACCATTTTATTTATACTACAATAAAACTACTAGTATTACTGCTGCGGCAGGCGATACTGCACAATTAGTCATCGAAGACGCCTGCCTCTGTTTTTCGTTATCTGTGTTTTATTATAGCTCTATTTGTTTACAACGACTCGTTACGGCAGCCCTAGCAGCAGCAATGACAGGAATATCGACGCGCTTTGCTGCATGCTCTATGTAGCATCTCGTTGCTGCGGTGCGCAGTCGGCCTGTGATGGGTCCAAAAACATTGCTATTTCAATCAGCGCGCTGCGTCGTTGTGTTGCTGTCATTTGTCGTTTCGCTATCCAGCCGCGCGGTGCGATAAAACCTGAGAAGCAGCCGACAACAGTGTGTCATAACAGTAACACGGCATCGATGCAGGCGCGCGAAAATAGTCCTACGCCAGCCCCACAGAAGCTACTCGCTGATGCTTCCTCTTCAAACCAATCTAATATAAGATGAGATTGCGGTCACACGCAGCAACACGCTGCTGACTTCTACCATTGATGTTGCCACTACCATCCGCGGCTTGGCTGGCTCGCCAGCTCTGCTCAGCCCAGCCCTGCCCACTCGGCATATAGCTTGGTAACCCAACAGTTCTACAAAGACGATACTCATGTCGAAGCTGGTATGACTGTGAATGCAACCTACCGTTCGTGTATAGCACGAGCAATAGGTTGCATAGGACGGTTATACAGTTATCAACCGAGAGCGTACACGCCGATTTTTCAGGATAAATATCATCGCGTAGATATATGTCTACGCGCAGAGGCCATCTACCTGCTTTGCTGATCGGCAGTAGCAGCAACGTGCCGGCAAGAACACGGCAGACAAACAAATGAAACAACATGCGAACGATCAACCAAATAAGCGGCTGTGACTACTACCTATTAATACCATAAATGGAAATATTTCAAATATTCGTGAGTCTTCATTATATGAGCCTTTCTGATGACGAGATGAGTCACTATCGGATGTGTCGTTGAACACAAGTTGATAGGAATAAGATGAGCAATATGCGCGAGCAGACACAGAAGAGCAACGTGGGCAGTTTTAGTTGTCGCCATGCGTCCAAAAGTCCAAGGCTATGTATTTTATGTTTCTAGATCAATTAAGCTTCGCAACCCCTCAACTAGCGGCTCTAACGTTATTCCCGTTGCTTGTTTACCAGCAAGCAGAATTCGATTACTGAAGTAATAATGACCATATGTTCGCAATGCTCAAACAGGGTTCTCGAACAGAGTGCTCGTTTTGTATCGTTTCTGGATATCATTCATCATCCAATGCACTCTCTTTTGTAAGTTAAATGCAACTGTCAAAATAATTACGCAGATGTCCCAGGATTTACGTCATTTCTAGGTTAAGATGTACGTCATTTTCTGTTAAGTCAAGATTCACGTTACTGTCAAAACAAGTGAATCGTTCATTAACCGCCTCAACAAGTATTATTCTAGCAAATATGCGCTTTTTCCTTCCAGATTTTTCAAAATCTAATTTTGACCGCTCTAACGGAGTCGTTAGGCTGTTACATTCAGTGACTAAACGTACAGTTATTACTAATACAATTCCATCTGTCGCACTAAGAATAGCATTTCCGACTTCATCTATCCTCGACTATATATGAGCAGTGTAGTAGCCAAATCCCTAATAATTAAATATTGAAATGTTTACAGGTCCGCACTCTTTTATGTGCTTTTATATTATGTAACGTTTTCCCTACCCTTCGTCGTCTTAAATGCTACATGTATTTCTCTACACCAATCATCTCACTTCTAGTTATCATCGCTACCAGTCTGAGCAATGTCGACTCAAACAAAGAACCACACAATACGCAAACCATACAGATACGTATACACATAGATGTATTACATACAGGCAAGGTGCATCTCGGAATTACCGCAGGAATCGACGTTACAGCGCGTTACTGCTGTTGTAGCCGAGGTAAGAGCCGTTAACGTAGAAAAGCTTAGCGTCGCCCTTTTTTAGAGCCATCGATCTGATTGATCACAGTGCACCGAGCTAAAAAAACACGGTGCAATATAGCTGCAACTGCCGTCATTTTTCGTCGTCGTCATAGTCGTCTTCTACCTTCCTGCCTCCCTCCCTTTTCCCCTTCAACCCATAGCAAGCATTAGGCTCCGTCTAAGGATGACCCCTCATCTCCCGTCCAAGCATTCTCAGATCCTTCACAGCGGTACAATAGATCCCAGTCTTCACTAACAAACGACGCAAAGAGCAAACGAAAAGCAGTCTTCTTTTTCCCTCATGCTTCTTAGTCAACCCATTAATCGCTAGTTGGCTGAACGGGGAGAGGACTGGCTGGTTGGATCGGAATGCCGATGCCTGTTCTGTCTAAACATTTGCGTCTGTTGCTCTCCGTGTGACTGAAGGGTGGCGATGGCTGATCCAGGCCACGAATCGGAGCGTTTAGGGGAGCGGTAATAGCGACACCTGCTGCGCTTACTGTCTGACAATTGAACTATCTCACATACATACGCACTTTGACAAGTAGTATCATGATCATCATCATCGTAATTTATCACCATCAAGCCATGCACAAATATGGTTGTTTTTAGTGAGACGATACAGGTAAGATGCTGATAATTATAATAATAATACAAACACTGATAACAACGCTAACATCTACATTTTGCGACTATGCAAGTGTTCCAGAAGCGGAGACAAGACGATGAAAAGGGCAAGAAATATATCGCCCAGGCAAGTTCCACATTGCTGTTATACCGCATTGTTGTTTCTTTTGCTGATATTGACTCGCTATATGCGCAAACACGTTTGCCTGCAATACGGTGTTCCCTGATTGTCTATATGATAATACAATCAGATCTTTTTGGTCCGATCTTATTGTCGCTTCTCCCTAACTGTCTTTCCGAAGATGACAGGCCCAGCTAGCAATTCTTCGACTAGCCAGCCTACCCGCCAGTATGTTTCCAGTAACCTGTTTTTACCTAGTGGGCGCTATAAGCGCCGTAGCAACCTGGAGAAATAAGAAGCGCTACCATCGACATTTCCGGCATCAGCGGCGCCAGCAACAATCACGAAAGTAAGGAGGCAATAGTGGGACGACACCGTCATAGACAACAACGTAGCCATACGCATATATCGGTATAACAGTATCTCGGGTGTGCAGTGGGCAGTCGTACTGCACCAGCGAACAGTCATCAGTCACTCTACGAACACGCGATGCACTCAGTCACTTCACTTCAGTCCATACACGAGCAGTCTCTCGTTCGCTTTTTCTGCTCTGTAACAAACCCTATAAATAGATACGCCATGAGTAACATGGTTGAACAGCAACAAAACGCGGTGAATACATACATACATACATACATAGTCTAGACGGATAAACGCTAGAAAATACTCGTGTAGGGCCATTACGGAGAGCCCAATGGTAGCACAGGGCGGGCCTATAAGCTGTTCTAGCGACGGCAAGCTGTGAGTTGCTGTCGTATGTCGGCACCGTCGTCGTTATTGTCATTTGTTGAACTTACCTCGACCTCAGAGAGCTGAACGTTCTTGCCGGGTTTTGTGCCGCGAACCTCAAGAAGCCGAGCTAGTATCGAGTCCACGTTTAGGCCGCCGTCACCCATCCTAATGCTGTCGTGTTTAGGCCGTAGGAATTGGTGTCCGTGGGATGGCGGTTGGGCGGAATTCACTTGACAATGTCTTTATTAATCTAACGTTTATATATATATATATATATATATATATATATATATATATATATATATATGGTATATATGCCACTCACTGAATCAGTTTTATATGGCTGGTGGTGAGCCACGAAGGTGTCTCGCGAAGGAAGAGCACCACACACATACACACACCCACACACACACACACACACACACGCACAAACATACACAGACACACCCGCCCGCAGTCTTCCGATACGGGCTGTTGTGATATATATATATTAAAGGATCGACTTTCGGGCAGCGCGTGATTCGTCACGTCACGCCGTACACTGATGTGACTACCACAGTTAGTCGACCAAGTCG